AAAAGTTGGACGAAGTTCCCACCGTCTGTGAAAGCGAAGCGCTGCTGAATTTGCATGTCGATTTATGCAGCAGAATTCTATTACGGACGATTAGACAGACATTTTCTCCCCCTCAGAGGAAACCACTGCACATTTCTTGGAGCTCCGCGTGCGAGTAAAGGAGGAGGCGATGGGTGACAAACATGTAAGTCACGTTATTGCTTGGATTTTACGGCGCCACCTTAAGTCCCTGAACTTCACATTTTAACGGAAAAAATAGCAATGCGACTTGGACGTAACAAGTAACGCAACAGTTTTGTAGAAATGTAGTGAAGTAGAAAGTACAGATACTATAAAATGTAGTGGAGTAAAAGTAGAAAGTATCCATTATTAAATCTACTTAAGTACAGATACACGAAAATTGTACTTAAGTACTTCCCACCACTGGGGAGTATGACCCTCTTGTCTTTACGACGCCAATAAAATGGTTAAAAAACATTTAATATATGAACTAATTTTCCATCATTTAGCTTATTAATATAATGTTCAGGGTTTTTTGTCACCAACTGTGTGTGTAACATGTTTTGTGTGCTGAGAAGCTATCATAAACAGAGAACAGATGAGAGGTGAGGCAGGCAGTTTTCTTGCCTCATGGAGTGGGCGCTCGTTATCACAGACATTAGTTTTGTGACTCCACAACTGCAGAGTAAGTGACAGCAAGCTATTCATGCAGTAAAATAAACAAAGTAGTACAAAGTAGTAGTTTTCTCCTCTTTTTCGACGTCAGTATGAATGACTACATTTCTACGCTTAAACAGTTTTCTAAGGTGGATTTTCAATTGAAGCAGGAAATAACTAAAGAAAGACCAACAGTAGAGCTGAAAGGTTTACTTCGAGACAGTTTGATACTCAAACATAGTGGTATACAAGACTTGTCGAGAATAGACTTGGCTTTGGTTGAACGGATATTATCCGTAAGTAAAGGCAATAACATTCTTTTATTTTTTTTAATGAAATGTGCGTGTTGTGAGCTACAGTTTATATGTGCAAAGAATTCAATACAGAAACAATCCACAATCTACTGTTAGATTAGCTAATAGCAGCAATCTACCACAGCAATCACTTATTCATAAAACATTAAGCCTAAAAACATATCGCAGCAACAGACTGAATGTTCTGTTCTTTGTGCAAAATATTTATTGTTTTTTTTTGGTGTTGAATCCTAAAACATAAAGTGGCACAGGGTTTCCCCCAGTGTATTATAAGCCTGGCGGCCCGACATGCTTT